TCTCCGCCCCGGCGCCTGCCCCCGCCACGGCCCCGGCGCCCGCCCCCAAGAAGAGCCGGCTGAAGGCGGCCGGCCGTGGGCCTCGAGGGGCCGCCAAGGTCGTCGGCTCGTCCCCGGCCGTGAAGAAGCCGCGGAAGAAGCCCGCCGCCGCGGCCGTGGCCCCGCCCGCCACCGTCGCCGAACCTCCTCCCGCCGCGCACGAGGTGCTCGAGGAAATGGCAACCCCATCCTCGTTCATGGACCTCCTCCAAAACGCGGAGGTGGACCCAAGAAGTCGGCAATGCTAAGGATGGACGATAGTGAAGATGAGGAGGAGAGGAACGTGGGCAAGCCCGAGGGAAACAAGAAGGGCAAGCTAAGGGTGAAGATGGAAGAAGAGGCGTCAAGCCTAAGGGAGAAGATGGACCACATGATGAAGGCAAGAAAGGAATTGACAACGAAGACATTGGAGACGAAGCTTCTTATCACCGAGAAGAAGAAAGAGGTCAAGCTTGCACAAGTTGAAGCAAAGCGTGAAAAAGCAAAGCGCAAGGCCAAGTTGGAGGAGAGGATGATCAAGCTCAAAGAGGCAAAGGTATGGAAAGAACTCATGGTGGAAGAGAAAGAGCACATGATGATGTCCAAAAAGGACATGGATCAAGACCAATTGCAATGGTGGAAGGACTACAAGGAGGACATCGCGGAGAGGAAGAGGATGTTCCGTGTTGCGTCCTCTACTTTTCGAGGTGACACTCCGATGAGTAGTTGTGGTGATGGCGGTGTGTACGACTCCACCGGTGCCGATGGAGATGCTTGATGGAGCCCGCTTGTGGTCTAGGAGATGGCGCCGAGGTGCAACTTTTGGTGATGGTGCCGATGAGAGGAGGAAGATGATGATTTTGTGATGTAAACTATTAAACCATGCATCAATGATTGTCATTTGGTAGTTTGTTTGGAAGTTGATTGTGTTCTTGTTGTCATAAATTGTGAGTTCTCAAATGATAGATTTAAAGATTGGGGTTGAGGCAAAGACTAGAACCCTCAAATCCAACCCTTAAAGCAGCTTACGGGTTGGGTTTGAGGGTTCTAGTATTTGCCCCTATTTTTCAACCCTTAAAAGTGTCAAAAAGTGGCACTTCTCAACCCTTAAAAGTGCTTTAAGGATTTGAGGGTTTGAGGGTTCTACTAGTAATGCTCTTAGAGCATTACTAGTAGAGCCCTCAAATCCTCAAACCCTTAAAAATAACTGCTTTTTTACAGTTTTTGTCGAAAAAAAGCCGTAGACTAGAACCCCTTAACCCTCAAACCCTCAAAAAATTTTAAAGGTCCAACCCTCAAACCCTCTCCCAATCCTCAAAAGTAAGGGCTGGGGAGCAAAACCTACCCCAACCCTCATTTGGCGGTTATCCTCGTGCGGGAGGGAAAAATCCTCCCAACTCCCGCGCCCACGCCCGCGACCGCCGCTGCTAGTCGCCCCAATCGCCGGTGGCCACCCCGTCGACCTCCCGCGCGCAACGACAACGTCGTTCATGAGGAATATTCCGTTATAAGGGTTGGGTTTGAGGGTTCTAATCTTTGCCCCTGTTTTTCAACCTGTAAAAGTGCACAAAAAGATCATTTTTGGATCCTTAAAACGCTAGTGAAGGTTTGAGGGTTTGAGAGTTCTACTAGTAATGCTCTTAGCTCTTTAGCAGAACTCATGGCATCTTCAATGCTATCACCTAAAACGAACACGGTATTTGTCCGCGGATGCATCTCGACGAGTCCGTGGCATAGTGCACCTCCTTTGTTGTCTATATTGTCGTCATCATTGGAGCAGTACAATGATATGGCATCCAACGCTAGACATAAACGTCCGCCTGCAATACAAAACACATTCAGATGAAATTCATGCAAACATGATAGAATTCATTTAAGTTCGGACATAAATTTACGTAAAATGGCCAACGACACCTCCTTCGTCATCCATGTCGTCGTCGTCATCATCGGAGAGGTACAGTGATATGGCATCCAACGCTAGACATAAATGTCCGCCCGCAATACAAACACATTCGGATGAAGTTTATGCAAACACGACAAAATTAATTTAAGTTCGGACATAATTACATAAAACAGATTTCGTCCGTTCAACCAAAATCTTAAAAAAAAACTAAACTATCATATAGCGCAAGGTGACCTTGTACGTGTGGCCCGCGACACCTCCTTCGCCGTCCATGTTGTCGTCATCGTGAGAGCGGCCCCCCTAGCGGCAGAAGAGCGCATGTGCACGGGAGACCGGCTGCTACCTGCCGCTCGTGGAGGAGTCACCAATGCCGACCCTGGCTAGGATGCCCTGGGCTTGCACCTGCCGTCGGCGACGAAGGTGTCACTGAGCGACCACCCCTCGCCGATCTTCCCATCGACACGGCATAGCCGATGCGCAGAAGTCTTCGCGGTGGTCACCGTTGTAAGCCCAGGCCTCCGCGAGAGACCCATACCGGCGCCGATTGGATTTCGCAAACGCCCAGCGGCACCTTATCTGGTCCAACGTCACACTTTGACAACAATATCTAAGATGAATAGCAACTGAACCGTACATTTAAATACGAAATCGTTGGATGTTCAACAATCTTTTTAAATTCATTGATCCCAAATGCAAATGAACAGTGTGTTCGTGCCAAAGACCTTGATATTTAGAGTCTTAAAAGCGGCATCCATCTGAAACTTCCTCTCCTCGAGCTTAAACCTCTTCTTGGCACATGCTTTTTAATAGCTATGCCATTGAGCTACATTGAAAAATGCATCAACGTGGTCAACAAGTTACAACATTAAGCAAACTAATGAAATGACCAACACATAGAGCAACAAGAAGCAA